CTGATCTCCAAATGGTGAACTCATAGTTTGCAAACTCACCAAATTCACTATAAGAGCATCTAAGTCAAGCTCAGCATCATATCCAAACCCAAATACCCAAATCCAAATATCAACAACCAAGTAAACAACAGAACCACCTTGATAATGCATTATACCATGCAAGTTATAAGATAAACTAAATCAAATCCAAATTTGAAAAGCTAAGTGTCACATCAAATTTTAATTACCACAAAAGATACTATGTTGTTAAGTTTTTGTTGAGTATCTCAGCCAGCAAGTATCTTCACCCCATTCATAACTAATAAAAATGAGTTAGGATTGGGGACTATCTCATAAGAAATCCAATAATATGTATATTATAAATTATAAATAAATTAAAAAAAAAAGGAGAAGGCCAAATTTGGATTAATCATGGTCAGTGCATGAAAAGAGACTTGACTATTTAGGCCCCATTAGTTAAGAAATAGAAAAAGAAAGCCATTTTCCCCTCTTCCTTCACCAAAACTTCCTGGAAATCACATTGCGTACAAAGATAAATATAATTTGTTAGAAAAAAAAATGATGCAATAATGACTGAAGACACTTTCCAAAAAAAATAATGAATGAAGACAAACACATGCAACCAAGCATAGACAATTTGTGCTCAAGGCACTTCCCCCTTTTGATTGGTTGTTCAAGGCACTTCTTTATACAAATTAGGAACATTATAAATTTCATTTTAGTTTTGCAAAGATTACTAAACCTAGTTCTGTGTCAAAGACCCAAATGTTGATGGTGTGTTGATCATAACAAATAACAAATCTAGTTCTGTGGAGAGTGCCATTACTTTTAGAAAACAAAGTACAACTTGATTTCTTTGTACATCACATGTACTTCTGGTAAAAAAAAAAAAAAACATGTAATATAGTTCCCCTTCCCATATGATCTAAATTAATCAAAATTTGGGAAGCCCAACATCTAGAAAGTTGATGCTTCTACCTATTGAGTTATGAGTTTGCAAACTATAAGCAGAATTGCTAGGAGAATCACTTCCTTCTAAATCTCTCCAACAAGTGAGAAGGGGGGAAAGGAACACAGACAAGTAGAAGTATAAATGAAACCCAAGTATTTCACACAAAACATCACATAGGTTGCTACCTTCCCGAGAATCTCATACAACCCACTGTTTGAAAGAAGTCGAGTTGTGTTTTCAAAGTATATAAGCATATTTGAAAGCACGTCCCGATACCCAATGATGTGTTTTGAAACATTGATTCCCTTGAACAGTGTTAGATTCTCACATGTCCCTTAACCTATTTGATGTTTGGACACTATACCCTCCCTCTTATTAATGAATAAGCGGTATGATATAGTGAAAAGAAATACTTATCCTCCGCAACTTGTACCATCCATATGATAAAACCAAGCATTAAGGGAAAGCTATCCAATTAACAAAAGAGAACTGCCCCTTATTGCTCTTAGGTTTGCAAGATATGATTCCATGGAATTCCTTCAAGAGAGGAAAAGAAAATAACCAACCAGTATTTCTCCACCAAACACCCTCAGCACGTCCATCTCCATCCAGAAGATTTGGCCGGTATGAAGTTACAAGATGATTTACTGCTCCAGAAGAACAGTCAATACATAAGATCCTTGACATAAGCTCACCTAAAGTCCAAAAAGAGAATAAACACCTTCTTCAATAATAAAGACCCTTTACAGAATGATCTCTAAAATAGATCCCACATGAAAGAAGAGTAGAAGACAATGTGATTTACACTCGAAATGCCCACAGGTTAGACCCTGTGTGGAATGAAGCAAAATGGTATATATTTGATCTTTTAGATATACATAAAAAGTGTAGCGCACCTTAACTGTCATGCACAACATATCTTAAAGTAGATGAAGCCCCATAGTCCAGGAGCATGGAAAACACGGAAGTGGCTCCACATGGAAAAAAGAATTAGCTGCAACTAAATCAAAATGATAAAATTAAACCCAACAACGTTGAGTAAACAAAAATGTTCCCACACGGAGCTAGGCAAAAAAAGGATATCACTTCATTCAGAACAACACATCAAAAATGGATGGGATGCTAAGATTCTAAGAGCTCTATAATACCCATCATATGATGCATAAATATTCATATGCATCAAATAGCATGTCACTGGTAGCAAATGTCACATTCCTCCAGTAAACAAGATTAGAGGACCCAATTTGCACTTCATTTTAAGCAATTACTATTGGGTACTGTGACCATGCTCACACTGCTAATGTACATCTGGATCTGGAGAATAATTGGACAGTGCTCAGTGTCTAACACAAATCAATCCTAGCAGTCCAATTACACTCCCCAAATAAAACAAAGCAGGGTAATATCAATTTGGAGGAGTACAAAATATCTGGCCAATGACACAAGGCTTGTTTAATCTCCAACAGCTGCAGAAATCTTATGATTGGACACAGTGTATCTCCTCCAGGGAAACAAACAACTTCAGGTCATAGCAACATATGGCATCCACCAATGGATGTAGAGAACCCAAGACAGAAACTAACCAAGTGGGGTTCACATGAGTGGATGACTTGGGCCATATACTGAATCCCAAGAAGGGAATTTAACAGCCTGAATGTGAGTACACAAAAACGAATACTCAGAATTATCATTATCAGAAGGATGGATTTACTCTAACTTAATATTAGGGTTTAATCAGAAATGCAATTGAAAGACCAATCAAAATCCATACCAACTCACACAGAAAAACACAACCAACCCAACAACAGATACGGCAGAATGCTTCTTTTGGCAAAGCCAAGCACAAGGGCTTTGTTCTTCACGACCATAGGCATCAAGTTTTCAACCCCTTACCTATTAAAGGAAAAAAAAAGAGAAGGAAAAATGGAGGAAAGCATCTCATAGATGCCCTTGATTGGAACTTCATTAGAGTATTAGCACAACACGCTTCACTCTTATGAGGACAACAGAAGTACCAGAGTCTATAAAATTTCCAACTATACAGTTCCTGATTCATATGGGAAATAAACTCTGGCTAATACGCTGTGGATAAATGCCATGCATAGTATAATAGGCTATATAGGAAGAATCATGAATCAGGGCCAATAGGATTAATTGTCTAGGTACCCATAACAAGCCAGGTGTCCCATATCCAACATAATCAGGACCCACCACTAGATAGATCCCATCTAAGTGATTGCCAATTTCCATAAGCAGCAATGTTTGATGACTTTTAACTATTAACATTTTCCAGCAGCTAAGGCAGTTGCTCAAGTGAGTACACGGTTAAAATCATGAATTCAAGCTCATTTTGGCCCAGTCAATACTTAGATGGGATCCATTTAGTGGTAGGACACGTTCCTCTGAATGAGGACACATGCATCAAATGTATTATGTAGCCTCAGATACAGGATAATGTCAAACATAAATATACACAACTGACGCTGTTGCATGCAACAAAGTGCATCAAGTATTGACCTTGTGCACTCAAATCAATTTATCAGAGTAATGACCCACATAACATGATATACTGTTAGCTTCATATCAAAGCCATGGGGACAAGATAATGGCAAATTAGACAATAAGAGACAAAATTCCAACCAGGAAAATCTTAAAACATAACTCCTCAGGTATGTAAATATATCTGGATTTTCAACCAAAGATATCTGCTTGATATATTCAGGAACATATGGATCCCCAAGTGAATAACTTAAACAAAGAGACAACAAATTCATGGATATTTTCCATTCTACCTAACTTAAAAAGCTGAACAGACATCAGCACAAAACATGCCAGCAGTCAGATAAACTAAATTCTAGACTACAAGCATGTTCTCCATTTTTCATTTTCTTTCCTCTTGGACATCTCTTGATAAAATCCAACAACTTCTCACTCTCACACTCTCACAGATGCTTCACCAAAGCACCTACAGCGGCCATGGTAACAGAAAAAGGACATGTCAAATAACATTTATATGTGTTTGAACATAGATGATATACAGGCCAGATAACAGAACAAAATGGTAACAGTAAGACTCCCACTTCAGTTGGATTGGTTCAAAAGGCTGGCTTACACATGCCATGGCATTTCAACTATTTGAACAATCAAAAAGTGCAACCCTAGTAAAACACAAGCTCAAACATGTTGAGAGCAGGATCCAGTTCAGCCATTACCAAATGTTGATCCCAACTATCCAATTCCAGAGTTTTGGCCTCAGGAAGTTGAACTAGATAAGGAACTAAGATTTGGCATTTTCTTGCACATGATGGCTACTTTCAGACTTGAACCTACATTCTGACATTTGTCAGCCTAAGTTCTTGCCATTACACCAAGCAATGGCCCTGATTGCAGTATCCATGGTTTAAAATATCCATCCAGGGTTCGACTATGATATGGGAAAACAACTGAACAATAATCTGAAATCACAGACGTGGTAGCAAATAAGGTGTTATGTATCAAAATTCATGGGTGGGTTTTGATTGGCCAAAACTCTTTCCATATCATATCTTTTCTGCATCATAGATTTTCCCATCCATAAATTTCCTAATATTTCTACATCGTATTTCCATTCCATGGGTACCAACACAAATGGATGCATACCTCGAAAGGCCAAATGATAAAATCAACAATGAACAATGATAAAGAAGATACCCTAAACAAACCCCATTTATCATTTATTTCCTTTAATCATAATTTCATACCGGTACAGCCTTCCCCTTCAGAAGTACAATGAGCAGATTTTACAATTGAAGAGAAGCCCTCTGCCCCTATCAATTTCCAACCCGACATGAACAGAACAAATTTTCCCAAAGAAACATTATACAAATAACAAATTAGAAGGAACATATTAGTCTATAATTCTCCTAAACTAAGCCACTGCATATGCTTGAGATCCAATTTAATAGAACTTAACTTATCGATAAGAATGAAGAATAAAAATAATGGAAACCCTAATTGTAGGAGGACGTGAATATCAATTACAGTAATACAATTAACAGAACATCCATACCGGTGGGCGCATCGGAAAAGGTCCATGTGGTCCATAAGGCATAGACCCGGGCGGCGGCATGTGTCCATAGCCTCCATTCTTCGTGTGCCACTGCCGTTCTTGCAACCCTGCCATAGCTCTCTCCGCAGCATCCATCGTTCCTGCAAAGTGCGTCAATTGCGACAATGCAGCGACCGCCGCCGCGGCCGCAGGGTTCAGCCCGGGTGGAACTGGATAGGACGAATTTGCAGCCTGCTGCTGCTCCCCAACGCCTTGCGGATAATAAGCATTCTGTTGCTGCTGAACATGCGCTTGCACTTGCCCTTGCGATTGCCCGTGAACTTGTCCTTGTTGCTGCCCTTGAGCCGCTGCCGCGGCAGCAGCGGCAGCCAATAGTTGGGAAGCTTCAGCTGGGATCGAAATGCCGGGAGGTTGGATCGGTGTGGAGTCCGCCTGCGCCGCTGACGGTTGTGGTTGTTGTTGTTGTTGCGGTTGCTGATAGGCGTTAGCGTAATCCGGATGATAGTAAGCATAGTGTTGCTGTTGCTGATAATGGTGGTAAGGGTAGTAGGCCTGGGTTGATTGATCGTAAGCTTGGGTTTGAGACGGATCGTAGTAGTCCTGCTGTTGTTGTTGAATTTGCTGCTGCTGCTGCTGTTGCTGTTGTTCTTGTTGCTGTTGAAGCTGGTGCTGTTGAAGCTGTTGATGGAATTGTTGGAGCTGTTGCTGTTGAGCTTCTGTGAGAGCGGAAAGATCCATGGTTCCTATCTTCTCCTCCCCCGGGAAAGAGCGCGTAGGGTTTTCTTTTTTGGTTCCTTCCCTCTCTTCAGGAAAAAAGGGAACGGGCGTTAATCCTAGGGGATTGGGGGGACCAGACAATAACACCCAAGTGAGCGATCTGATTACGCCGTGCGCCATTTCTACCGTTACGTGTCCTGGGCCCCGTGGGACTGGCCCCTGGCCTCGGGCTAGGGCAGCAACTTGGGTCGGGCCAATCCCAACCCCGTCTGCATTGAAATGTGAAGTCGGGTTTATTTCCATTAGAAGCTTTGGGTTGTAGTTAGGGAAATTGTCTAAAATTCATCATAAATTTTCAACATTTTTCTTAAATTCATCACAATTTTTCAAATTGTCTAAAACTCATCTTAGTAAGTTTTTATTTTCTAAAAATCACATTCCATTAGTACACCATTAACGTTTCTTATTAGAGGTGTCCATGTCAGTATAAATAACAATTTTTATGACTAAATTATCCTTAAATGGCGAGTTAGAGGAAAAATGGTATTTTCAATTTTTTTTGCATTTTTAGTGTTTTGTTATAATTTCCTATTTTTTTTTTACATTTTCTATTTTCTATAATCTATAAATTTTCCTGTATTTTTTGTTATTTATCTGTAATTTCTATATCTTTCTATTATTTTCGGTGTTTTCTACAATTTTTATTTTCTAATTTTGTTTTTTAATTTCTATAATTTGAAAATAATTTTTTATTTTGTTTGCAATTTCTATAATATTTTATATTTTTGTAATTTCTATGTTTTTATGTATTTTATATTTGAAAATATTTTTTGAAATTTTTTCCTTTTCTCATGTCTAAATTTTAAAATGGTAATATATTAACACTCGTTAATTTATTTTGTATATATTTTATATTTTCCTGTGAAGGTTAAAATGGTAATATATTAACACTTGTTAGTTTGTTTAGCCTCAAGTTAGTGATATGGTGAGTTTTAGACATTTTGAAAGTTGTAGTGAATTTAAGAGAAATGTTGAATACTCATGGTGAGTTTTAGACAATTTCCCTTTAATTAATTCTTTAATCAACCGAACCAAACCCAACCTAATGGGCTTCTAGAAAATAAGAAAAAAAAAAGGTAAATTACCAATTTCTCTCATGAAGTTCCTAGTTGTCACTAAAACCTCCCCTAAAGCTTGATAATTGCAATCACATCCCCTCAACTTTTTTACATGGTTTGCAAATAGGCTCCCTCTAATATAATCTTTTAAATAGAGGTATGAAAATGTTTAAAATACCCATGTAGTTACTTTTGACAACAAATATTTACTTTACAGTTTTTATCTTCATATGAACCACTTCTCCAAACCCTTCCAATCTTTTTTTTTAATTGATTTATTTTTTCAAATCATCCCTACGTATCAATCACTCAAACGTAAAGCTTCAACTTTAAATTCATTTTCTTGTTTTTTTTTCCATATAAACCAGCCCCAATAGTAATTGCATGGGTATTTTCAACATTTTTTCATGACTCTTGCTAGAGAATTTTAATAGAAAAAAAAAATAGCGCGCTTATACTCTAATGGGTGCTCAATGTTCAATAGATCAAACCATGGGACTTAAAAAATTGATGTAGTATCACCGTTAGAAACCTAGAAACCAAAACCAAAATGGAATCGATCGGTTATATGGATTTGGTTTCTGACTGATTTGGCACTTCAGTTTTTCAATTTTTTTATTTTTCATATATGTTATAAATAAATATACAAATATATAATATAACTACTAGAAATGTATGTAATATATTGTATTATAAACAATATGTAATATATTATACATTATAAATATATTATATATATAACGAGATTATAAAATACAACTAGACTCTCTAAGATCTAATTTAGTAAAACAGTTAAATTAATTTGAAAAAAAAATACAATTAAATTGAAAATACCATACTAAAATTTAAAAAACAAATTATAGTGAAATTGGAAAACATTACAAATAACTTAGAAGTTACAATTAAAATTAAAAATCTCAAATTTTACAATAGTCTCATAAAATTGCTTAAATTCGTAGTTCTACTTTCTTCTTCATCTTGTGATACATTGGACGATGTATTATGTCCTCCTTTATCTTTTAACCTATCTTCCGCATCCAACCAATCTTTTAAACAAATACACATCTTAAATGTTTCATGTGTCATTTAATTTTTCTTTTCACCCATCCCATTTTTTCTTACACTAAAACAATATTTCGATGTTATTGTAGGAACTAGGGGTTAGTATATCATGTGTTTTAGCAACACACAATATACTTATTTTCACGTGCTTTCCATTAGGCAAAAAATATCAAAATTATCTATTTCCTTTAAAAAATATAATTTGCAAACAAATATTAAGCTCGTTGAAAGATGAACTAAGGTGAAGAAAAAGTTTCTTTGTTTATTAAAAACCACATCTTACATTTACTTGATGTGGTACTTCCTATATATATCAAATGATATTTTTTGTAGTTTAACCTTTTTTATTTACATATATTAATATCTATTTGTATGTTTTCATTACATGAATTAAATATCATTTCTACACATCTTAATTTAACCATACGATCTAATATTACATCTAAGGAATATACAAGAGAAATATGTTCCTAATATTTTTTTAATTCAACTTTCATTTTTTCAACAATAATTTCAAAATACAATTTATTTCAATATTTTGTAAAAAAAAGAACTCGTTTAATAAATATAATATATTAATTAAAATAGATGAAGTTGGGTAATAAATGCCATAAAAATGCTTATACAGTTGTTAAATATTTGTATAGAAAATGAAGGGGATTTGGGTAATTTTGGATGAATGGGTATTTTGGGAATTTGGGCGAAGCATATTTTAGAAATTTAGAAGAAGGAGCAATTTGGGCTTCAAGGGTATCAAGTGAGATCAATCAGTGAATTTTTGTAGATTTGGGTTCTTTTGATTCTTTGGGTTTTGGTAGAGTTGTAACAGTTTGATCGGTTCAAGGGTGAGTTAGGGGTTCACACAAAAAACCGAGCAAAAATCGAGTGCTGACACTCCTCATTCAAATTCCATTAACATTCAGTGAATCATATTATTGACTATAATACCTTTATTTTTGTACTTGGTTTCTCTCTAATTGTGGGGGCACAAAATATAATTTAATGTATTAACTCCAGTATTTCATTGAATCGTATATTAAAAAAAACAGGTGTCACGAAGAGTAATCAATCTTATAGATGATAGAAATAAAATGCAAATTTAAAACCAACCAAAAAATGAAAATTAAACCTTTTAGGTCAAATGTGTAAACCTTTGATGTTATAATTATATAATAATAAAAATTATAAAGATGAAAACACACAAAGTTATTAAAAAATATATAAAAAATGCATAAAACATCTGGGCAAATATATTTGCTATCATCATCATAAAAAATTATCACATGGAGAGCATGTGCACACTTAATAGTAATATATAAATGCCACAAATATTTTTGTTGAGAAGTTGCAACATTCTCATAGTATTTTGGACTACCATTGGTTAATGGCAATTACGTATGTCATGGCCTTTTGTTGAGTATTCACAAGAAAATTCTTTGGCACAATATTTTAGTTCTAATTTCATTTATATGTGAAAGGACAAAGATATAGATGTGAAATGATTTGTACTGAAGAGGATTGTGTCATTGCATTTAGCCACGCTCATAGCTAATTATAGGAGTTTGGGGCAAAGGTACAAATGTGGTATAATTTGATTGGTTTTCTAATGTAATTTGACTTTTTTTTTTCTTTCATATTTATTTAAACCACTGCTGATAAAGGTCTAGGAAGTAATGGTTATTTTCAAATGCAAGATCATAGCATGCAACAAAGAACACAAACATTCAAACTCCTAACTTCAGTTCCAGTGGATACGAAGTCTTCTCTAATCACGACTTGAGGATTCTTGGTTGCTTGTAAAACTGTTTTTACCTCAAGAGCATTTCCCAATTTCCTAGTAACAACCTATTCATTTACTCTCTTGCCTCGCCAATAAAGGTTGCCTTAGTCTGAGGTAGAGACATTACATTCTCAAAAGGGATTTGGAAAAATAATAGATGGAGTGACTTATGAGTTCTAATTGAGTTGAGTATGGTAATGGTGAAAATGATACGAAGAGTTTCCACTTTGGGACTTCTACTAACCGTTTAAAAAATCAGGCCAGACCGAATGGTCAAACCGTTTGACCCATGAATCAATCGTGTGTCTATGTTTATTTATAGACTATACCATTTTTTTTAATGTTGAAATGATAAAAAAACCATTGGTCCATATGATTGAACCTCAAAACTATTTGACACGGGTACCGGTTTAACAAAACATATATATATATATATATATATATATAACTTTAATATAACATAGAAGGAAAAGGAGATTGAGATATGGGGGAAGAACTGGTACACAACCTCAAATATGGAATCATAGAGAGGGGTGAGAGATATGAGATAAGAAAAAGAAGTTGTCATCGTCGTCACTATCACAGGTGAAAGTCTTATTCTTTTTTATTTATTTCATTTGTTCATTCACTTATTTCTTTCATTATTTTTTTTCCATCATCAAGACCTTTTTCTTTCCTTCATATCTTTATTATTTTCTCGGGCAATGACCACTTTAACTCTAGCTCTTTCATTTCTCATAAAATAATAGAGAAAAAACCCTAACATATCAATTTATACTATAAAGGTCAAATCACTGAACAATTGAACTGCTAACCTAGAAACCAGTGATCAAAGCAATTCCATTTATGTATTGGTTTTTAAAAGATTACTTCTACTTCAAGAGTCAAAATAATTAATGGCATTATATTACATTGAAAGATAAAAGGTGACGATATAGGCTACGATATTCCAAACAACGAAGTTATGAATAACATGGCATTTCTTCCATACAATCACTTTCTTGTTCTTGTAGTCTCCATTGTTTATTTGTAGCTATGTGAGCTTTTCTTATTTATATGAACATATAAGATAGACACTATAGTTGTTGTCAAATTGCTATCACGGTACAACTCAATATTACAATAGAAAAATAGACAAATTATAAATGGTTAAAATAAATAAGAAAAAAGGATAGTTTAGTAATTAA